GATAAGATAAAAGATAAAGATAAAGATAAATAATAGTTTATTTATGGAAAGCCACAGTATGGAAAGCCACAGTGAACCCCCTGATCATTATTATTTTTTCCCTTAGAAATACATGGATTTAAATAAATCTTCGGCTTTTAGAATCTCGCCGATTATTATCAATTCTAAAATCTTTATTCAAGTGTCACATATTGATCTACAATAAAATTACAAAACAACATCATAAAAAAAGGGATGAATACCCAGCCTATAAAGACTTACGAGACACTGCATATACAGATAAAAGCTATAACAGTTATACTAAAGGAAATTTTTTTTTTTTTTTTTTTATACAAAAAAGCATAGTCATGTATTACATGATTAAAAACTCATTAGATATGTACACAAAATTATAGAATATCTATTCATGAACGCTTTAAAATGTTAATGTAGAACTTTCTAATGTAAATCAACAATGAAAACAAAAGAATTATAATTACAGTTTAGTTCGCTTAAAAACGCCACTAGGGTAAATGTTACTTAAAAATTCAGTAAAAATACAGTAACAAATAATTTCAGTAAAAATTCAGTTAAAGTTCAGTAAAATTTCAGATAAGTATAAATTATTTTTTAACGACTTTCACAAAATCTAGCAAATCATTATAAATAATTCATGCACACAATGGTTTATGAACCCAAGTACATTTATCTTGATATTATCTTTTCTGTATATTGTTTAATATTATTGGAATTAGGTTAATGTGTGTAGAATATCGAAGTCATACTGTTCTTTGCGTTAATGGCTATAATAGGTATTCTTTAAACATTCTATTCCTCTCTTTTAAAATCAATCACATATTTTCAATGAGTTGATTCTCAGTGAAGTAGACTGCCTTTGTAATAAATAAAAATATGATGCAGTTTGATTATAGCACCGAGACAGTAATGTGATTAATTGTCAAATAACTTATGGAGCTTATAAATAAAACGAGAGAGCAAGCATAAAGTGATTTAAATATACAATGTATATGATAAGATATAAGGATGGAGAATGGTTGATAACGATTCAGCTTTCCACTAAAGTCCAGAAAAAAATATCAGCACATCTTAACGTCAGTTGAAGACTACAACATGAATCTTTCCAATTTTAGGGAGGGTTGAACGCTGTTAAACGTGTAAATCACTTCCACGTTATGTATGTGCCTGCATCACGACAGTAACCTGTAAACCGGTGGTGGCCGTTTGTTGTTGTTAGCCATATTTGTTAGTCGGTCATTTTTTACGTATAAACCAGGCCGTTGTTTTTTTCCTTCTCTGTCGTTTTAAAATTTGCCATAGCCTTTTATAGCTGACTATACGGTATGGGTTTTGCTCATTGTTTAACAATTTTTCATAACCTTTTATAGCTGACTATACGGTGTGGGTTTTGCTAATTGTTTCACAATTTACCATAGCCTTTTATAGCTAGCTACATTTATACGATATGGATTTTTACTCATTATTCACAATTTGTCATAGCATTTATAGCTGGTTTTGTTAATTGTTAAGCCCTGTTATCATTCGCATCTTTCTTCTTCGGTCTTGGCAAAAAAATGTCTCATTGGCAATTATACTGGATGTTCTTATTTTCATATCACAGGTTCAAAGATGTATTTGATAGCTCGAACCTCCAGTTCTCTTATGACCCGAAACATTGTAATTCCATAACTGGGATACAAACAAAATATATCAGCGACTCGGTCGTGAGTTTTTAAAATGTATGTATAAGGTATATGGACGTTAATCATAAGGTTAACATATTTATATTCTCCCTCACTACGTTCGTCCGAATATAAAGTAATTATATTCTACGGCCTTAACAAAGAACAAAAGATTTAATGTAGGTGTGCTACTCGCTATAACCTTTAATTCTATATCTTATGTATCAAATACAAACATGACAATTATAGTAATCATAATTACAAATACAACTATACATTAAATCATCCGTGAATACACGTGTCTCTTCTTTAGGCTATAGCGAGAGTCGATGGTCAGAAAGATGACCACACGGGTTTTAAGTGCAAACAAATGGTCACATGTCAAGAATATTCATGAACGGACAACGAACTTAATTTTATTAAATAACACCTTATAAACCATGTTAACAATAAAAACTTAAACTTTATGTTGGAAAATATTTATCTTCGAAATTAAAGTTTTGATTTTAGACATGACATACTGTATTGATTTTTTTTTATTCTAAAGAAATTAGGAACACATAGTGTTTATTAGACCTAGTGATTACATCATTATAGGTATAGAAGACATTATAATGTTCTGAGTGTTACGGTTTTTATAATATATATAAAGATAGGTGATTTGGGTCAAGTCAATGAGACAGCTACCAAAGGCATACAGATATATACTCTGGAGGATAGTTGTCTCTTTGGCAATCATACCACATCTCCAAATTATTATATACAGATATATACTCTGGTGAATAGTTGTCTCTTTGGCAATCATACCACATCTCCAAATCATTATATACAGATATATACTCTGGAGGATAGTTGTATCTTTGGCAATCATACCACATCTCCAAATTATTATATACAGATATATACTCTGGAGGATAGTTGTCTCTTTGGCAATCATACCACATCTCCAAATCATTATATACAGGTATACTCTGGAGGATAGTTGTCTCTTTGGCAATCATACCACATCTCCAAATCATTATATACAGGTATACTCTGGAGGATAGTTGTCTCTTTGGTAATCATATCACATCTCCAAATCATTATATACAGATATATACTCTGGAGAATAGTTGTCTCTTTGGTAATCATACCACATCTCCAAATCATTATATACAGATATATACTCTGGAGAATAGTTGTCTCTTTGGCAATCATACCACATCTCCAAATTATTATATACAGATATATACTCTGGAGGAAAGTTGTCTCTTTGGCAATCATACCACATCTCCAAATCATTATATACAGATATACACTCTGGAGGAAAGTTGTCTCTTTGGCAATCATACCACATCTCCAAATTTTTATATACAGATATATATACTCTGGAGGATAGTTGTCGCTTTGGCAATCATACCACATCTCAAAATTATTATATACAAATGTAATGTACACTGTAACTAACTTATCAACTTATCAATTCAAAATTAAACGTGTTAATTTTGTTGTTGTTTTTAAGTTTAGTTAGGCTGATTATATTTATATTTGTGTATGTCATCTTTTAATCTTTTTGTACGCATTCGCTGTATAAATAATAATTTACTTTCATCAGGGTAGGCATCTGTCATGCAGTAGTTTTTTTAACCTGGTATATGATCCAGTATTGTTATGAAAGGTCAATCACATTTAATGTACTGGTCCAATGGTCCGCAAAAATCTTATTAAAACATACATAATCCTATTAACCAACTTAACCTCGTATCATTATGAGCAAATCTACCTCACGGATTGACCTTGTAAATCATAAAACAACTTGACAGGTGATTTGATGATATTTTGAATTTCTACATCATGATTTCTGTATTGCTTCAATGATGATATTTATCTTGAAATAGAGCAGTTAAATAAGCCGAGCAAGGATGTCTATGTTGAGACGTGAAAAAATCAAGTTCAATAACAAGTCAAAAATTAACAATTTATGTTTACTCTTTTAACCAAGGTAATGAATTAAGTTAAAGAAAACATAAACAACACAACAATAAACAGAATACACATAGGGACAGACAGTGAAACGAAAGCTCTGGACACACAGCTTTATACCGATGTTAAAACCCATGATGGTAAAAACTAACGTGTAACGTTTATACAAGATTTGAAAGATGGTTTGATGTGATTTAAACCGGTTAAATTGTTGCTTTCAGTCCCTGCAATATAAACTAAAAAGGATACAGAGTAAACGTCAACGCGACAATAACACAACGACAATAAAACGAAAAGACATATAGAATGAACGTGAGGCTATAGGGTGTGTCCATGTTCCAAACCATCTGAGTATTTGGACCATACGTGTTTTAAATAAAATTGAAAATAGCATAACTGTTGACAAATTCAAGTCCCATCAAGTATTATAACAAAGAAAACTCAAATAATCTGCAGCAATTCAAGTGCCATCAAGTATTATAATAAATAAAACTGAAATAATCTGCAGCAATTTAAATGGCGTCAAGTATTATAACAACGAAAACCGAAATAATCTGCAGCAATTTCATTCGACGACGATTATTCTATTCTTAATATCGATGATTGTTTTCAATGATAATCGTCATTTTTGGCAATTTCTGTTAAACTAGTTTGAAGGCGCCAACCCTCCCCTAATAGTCCACTTCAAAAATAGAGCAACAAAATAAGGAAATGTAGTAGGATTGCCAATGAGACAACTTTCCATCAAAGTTTAAATGAAGTGGATGTAAGTAATTAAGCCTCGTTACAAATCGATTGATCTCATATGCTCTTGAATGATAAGCAGTTTCTTCTCCACTATTAGCACACGTAGTGTTGTTTATAGCAAGTTAACTCGGTGACAAGTTGTATTCGATGATGTCTTTTTCGAGGACAAGTAAAAGGGAGTATGAATACAAGAAAAGCATATTCGTGCTGAAATCTGATAAATATATTTTATAACTATCACTAAAATTATTATGGTGTCCGTTAACTTTTCGTAAAAGTAAAGACACCAGTAGTTTACCTAGGTTCTAATCAATATGATGACTTCCAATATATTATAAAGATTGATTTCTCAATAGCCTTCTTGTATATAGTAACACATCTATTAAGAAAGTAATGATAAAAACACAAGCCTTGTAAAAATTGTGCTTAGAATTTAAACGTGTTGCAAGACTTATGTGCTTAGGAAAGTGTTTAATTTCTAAACATAAAAAAATAAACATGTTTTGGCTCTCAGCACTTCGCAATAAACATGTTTTGGCTCTCAGCACTTCGCAATAAACATGTTTTGGCTCTCAGCACTTTTCAATAAACATGTTGCTGTTGTAAACATGTTTAGCTACTTTGTCAAGTATATAAAGCTAAACGTGTTTAAATTCTAAGCACTTTCAATATTTAGACACTTTCCTAAACACGTTTAGAATTACAACACATTTAGGCCGAATACGGCATTCATATCACGTGCTAATTTTTGAGCGGGAAGAAGAAACAAAGAACCCGAAGTCAAAGGCCACGCTGTTTACTTCTGACCATAACTGACCGTAACTTGACTGTTTCAGAAAGGTAAGGAGTTATGATTATACTGTCTTTTATTTTGTACTGCCAATTTTAAATGATTATTGACAGGTATAAGCATCATTTACAAGTACACTACCGTATAGTCAATGCAGGAGAGAAAAGGGGGTACCATCCCACGAAACAAGTGCTTGTAAGAGCTTTAAGTGTTCAAACTATCTTGTGTATAGATGATAAGAGTTGTTTAATGTTCTATCATGCAAGTTTGCATTTATTTTTTTATTTGTATATGTTCTTGGAAAGGAGTTTGCGAGAATAATTTTCGTTCGGTACTCCTCGGCAGATTATAATGGAACATGAAGGGTAGCGGAATCTGCCGAGTCTTATCAGGATGAGGTGCATCATTCGCAAATCCAGTGTCATATCGAGTTCATTGTTTTCGTAAGCACTTCCGATATGCAAAATCAACATTTCCTCAAAATAAATAGAAAGATGCTTGTTTATTTCAATATAGTTATAAGCGGTTGTGATTTTTTTTATAATTTTATTGATATGTATTGTTTTATTCTAGATGAGAGAAGTGCAGAGGAAATCATCATCATCTGTCTTGGCATGCTAAAAGAGGAGATAAAGAACAGTAGCAAATATGCTGCTAGGTAAGAATCAAAAGTGTATTTGATTTTAAAAATGCCAATATATATTTGATCAAATGAATAATATTAAGCATGAAAAGAAGTTTTATATTAAAAAATATCAATTGATTCATCAGTAAATTTATGTTTTTATACCACGGTCCTAATGTTGTTATCTGGATCTTAAATCATGCTTTTACTTTTTGATGTTGTAGTTCGTATTCTTATATTTTAAGATTAATTCTGCTTAGTTGCTTATCAATATTTTTCTATATTTCAGGCCATTGACCAGCAGTTGGGTACTAAGAAAGGAGAAGCTCTTATTGACCTGTAAAATGAAAACAGGACATTTTCAAATTGTTTTGTTGTAGAGATGGGGTACAAGTAGAAGATTGGTCAATATTATGTACATGTACCTTGATATGAATTTATTTTTTATTGTGTTCAATGATAAACTGGAAATAAATGATAACATAAATTCCTTTGTTTTATATGTTGTAATTTTGTTTTTAAAGCTAGAATTAGTATAATGATAATTTCATTTCAAAAGTTCTAGACTGTTTTACGAATATTTGAAATGAAGAAAAAATGCAATAGTCGAATGACGTGAATTGAATTAAAGAAAAAACTCATTGAGATTGAAAAGGTATTGGTCACATTCAATTTGATATGGAAATTCCAGTTTCTTAGTTCGATGCATTGGCTCCTTTCTGTGATGGTATGAAAACCTGTTTTATTGAGAGCTATAATACGTTTTACAGTCAAGACTTCCGGAATATTAGTTTAATTGGGGCCTAATGAAGAAACGGCTTCTCACAATAAAATGATAAACATGTTTCTTCACGACCCTTTATGGTCTAAACATGTTTACATTCAAAACACTTCACAGCTAAACGTGTTTCCAGACAAAACACTTCTCAGCTAAACATGTTTCCAGATACAACAAGTCACAGCTAAACATGTTTACAGTCTAAGCACTTTTTAGCTAAACGTGTTTATAGTCTAAACGCTTTACAGCTAAACATGTTTACAGTCTAAGCACTTTATAGCTTGACACGTTTAGGCTGTTAGCACATTAAATATTAAACATGTTTAGATTTAAAACATGTCAAAAATCGGTTTCATAAATGTGTTTAGGAAAGTGTTTAGGCTCTAAACACATTTTTTAGAGTGATATATATGCAGATGCTGCTTAAATGTTATATAAAAGTAAAAAGTGCATAATGGGAAAAGCTGTTAGGCAGCTAAACTGTAACTGTGGGGTCTTTTATTTTTATGTTTAGTGGAATAGATGCCACAATTATAGTAACCAGACTTAGTTATTCAATGAGAGGACACCATCGCTATAAGTTAACGTAAGTGAAAGGACAGGGGCGGGTCCAAGTGAGGGCGTAATGGGCGTACTCCCCCCTTTTTCAAAAAAAAAACTATCGTAATCTGCTAGTACTGTACAAATGTATTGAATATGGCAATTAGTGCATTTCACAATTATTTTATGTTTTTTCGCAAAAAAAAGGTCCAACAAATTTTCGCCTCGCTCCGCTCTGCGACAGATTTCATTCTACGCTACCTCTTTCAAATATCCTGGAAACGCCCCTGAAAAGTATAACCATCGAGCGAATCGATTGGAATATAATTTGGTGTCACCCTTCGAGGTGTACAATATTGCAAGTTTGTGGGAGAGATTTATAAAACATAAAAGACCCAATAAGTATTTTGATTTGTTTGCATTTCAAACAATGTTTTGACGACGAATTTACTTCATAGTACAAGACAATTTCCGGTAGAAAAGAGATGAATAGAATAATATGAAATTATTAATGATATTTCTTTTTAATTTTCTCTTTAAATATCGCCGTATAAATCATTTTTATATTTCTTTTTAGATATTTCTTTTGTGAATTAAATTGTCTCATGCTTTTTTGCCCCTATTAGTCTCTCCCTTCAGGTCTGTGGTAATCTTTAAATAAACTTTAGCATATTTTTAGATACTCAACTTGAAGACATGAAATTATTTTTTTAATCATATGGGAGTTTATTCATTAATTGAAATGTGTTATTTATGAATTATAAGATTCAAACACGTTTGCTGTTTATTGCGTTTTTATGTTTCACCTTTTGGTTTTTGTATTGATTTTACCTATATATAAATGATATTGTCTAAAGTAACACGTTTACCAGATGGACGTTTGTCGATTTAAAAAAAAATCTCATTTGTTTAAATGTATATATGAGAAAGCTTCTCGTTGCGAAATAGCCTTCTATGTACTGATTGACTGATGATTATACGTTAAGTAATTATCAATTGATCATATTTGGTAGAATAGTTTAATAATAGCAAGTCATCTATAGTCGGCTCATTGAAGCAAGAAATTAAAAAAGAAAATAAACAAACTTTACGATACAAATATAATGAAAAATCCAACAAGATGTCATCTTTTATTCTATATAATTGCATGGGATGGCCTTGAATTCCCAAACATTACACATGGGTGGATTTTATAATATTTTTTCATTTCGGGGTTCAAATTCGGTTTACTACATAGTTTGTACAGAGTTCAATGAACTGTAGTTTAACGCTATTCAAATTGTATATATGATTTTCCGACCTAGATGCATGTAAGCGACCTTGCTACATCCATGAAATAAATTTGCATCCGAATACAATCATGAATTGTACAATAAAGTATTATTTTAGCAAATGTAATATCGCCAGCTCACGATATATGCTGTTATACCCTTGTACTGTAAATTAAAATTTTCATTTAAATGTAAATATTACGTATTGTTCATAACTTTATCATTTGTATTTTCTGTTATTAATATATTGATTTATTGTTCATAATAATATAATTCATGTAATCTCTATGGAGAGAAAATAAATAAGTGAATGAATGAATGAATCGTAAAATACATATCATGTAAACAGAGAGGGAAGCTCGCAAATGGTAAACAAAATCATAAACCCATATAATAAAAACAACACCATGGCAAATAAACGATAAAAAGACACACAAAATGAAAAACACAATGCAGAAAACTAACGATTGAGCAAAACGAACCCCACAAAAAACCAAGGGCGAACACCACAAAAAAAACAGGGCCGAACTCGAATGATTCGGAAGGGTAAAAAGTTTATGCTCCACAAGTGGCACTCGATGTTACTCATTACAAGTACAAATACAGTAAGGCTCCACTAGTGGCGCTCGATGTTACTCATTACAAGAACAAATACGGTGAGGCTCCACAAGTGGCACTCTATGTTACGCATTACAAGTACAAATACGGTGAGGCTCCACAAGTGGCACTCGATGTTACCCATTACAAGTACAAATACGGTGAGGCTCCACAAGTGACACTCGATGTTACTCATTATAAGTACAAATACGGTGAGGCTCCACAAGTGGCACTCGATGTTACTCATTACAAGTACAAATACGGTGAGGCTATACAAGTGGCACTCGATGTTACTCATTACAAGTACAAATACGGTGAGGCTCAACAAGTGGCACTCGATGTTACTCATTACAAGTACAAATACGGCGAGGTTCCAATAGTGGCACTAGATATTACTCATTACAAGTACAAATACGATGAGGCTCCACTAGTGGCACTCGGTATTACTCATTACAAGAACAAATACGGCGAGGTGTTACATTCGGTAATATCAATATGATGGCATTGTGATAACGACAAGTTGAACATTAATGTGGCACATATATCAAATAACGGTCAAACAAATCATTATGGCTTCCGTAAAACTTTCGAAGGGATTATTTTAACTTTACCATTTGGAACCCTTGATTCGATAACTTCCTTGTATTCAGTAATCCTCTCTCATAGAAATCACGATCGAAAGAGTAAGCCCTTGAATATCGGATGTATTATCTGAAATGCGTGTACTCCATATGCAGGTGCTGATGGAATGCTGCTACAAAGACATATAGTACGATTGGGAAATTAGAGTCATCTCTTCGGTGGTAAAGTTTAGTTCTCAGAGAGCCCTTATTGTCAATTAAATAAGATGTGTATTTAAAGTTCAAATACATTACTGTCCGTTATAAAGAAAGTCCAAATAATTGTCAATTTCTTTTTTATTAGTTATTGCATATTTATTTGTGCCGTTAAGTAGTATTTCAGAATATTTTTGTATAGTATTACAGACCAGAAGAGGATTGACACCACATGGATCGATGTTTTACGTTTTCATCCGCTTGGATATTTATATAGAAATTCAGCCAGGAAATGCATTGGAAAATAAAATTCTAATTACACCGTCTTAATCATAACTTTAATACAATTTTGGATGTACTTTGAATCGGTGTCTATAGATAGTTTTTATTGAATTTAAGTCAATGCGATATTATATTTCATACCATGAAATTCCGGTTCGCAAATAAAACTGCTTGCTAATAATGAGATATTTGGTGTCCATTTTATTACTAAGTTGTCATTTTATCCCGTAGATGCTTCGCGTCATTAATACCACTCAGCATGATCCCGTCTTGAAATCCAATAAAAAACGCTTTAGCAAGTTTTCATCTTCATTCGTTTTAACGTTATGTCCTTTGGGATTAATCCATGGGTGAACAAAACTTTTAAGAAAGCCCACAATGAAATATCCAAAGGACAAGACGTCCTGATGAATTAAGATGAACAAAAGAAAATAACTTTCCATTCCTGAAAAAAATAATGGAGCGTTTGAAAATTTTTACATTACAGGTTTATGTTAATAAAAAAAAGTATTTCGAAGATATGTATTATATAGAATGCACTCTAATATATATGAGAGGTAACACATAAATTGCTAAAACAAAAAGGTTGTAATATAGGACACTCCTTAGACAGACATTTAGAACAAAACAAACTATTATTCTAATTCGTATTGGAGAATGGGAACATCTATGTACAGTTGAATTAAACTTACTCAAGCTGTACAATATTTCTTGAAATATCAATAAACATTTTTTAATTAATTTTTACAATAAAATGGTACTTCGCGAAATAATGCCGATTTAATTTGCATTTTTTTTAATGATCCTTTTCAGTCCCAGACGGGCTTTCCAAAATTTATGATGTAATAACCTATTTTACTCTTTACGATGAATAAATAATACATATTTTGTGGTTTGATCTAATATTTAATAGGTTGTCATTGAACACAAACCTATCACTGTTCACGGGCCAGCTGTTACAACAAAAATTGGGAAAACCGTTCATGCCAGTACGAGTGTACCGGTTTGTGTTAGAAAAGTTGAATAAAGCATGATTATGTTTGCGTTTTATTTTAAGTAATCGAAAATATGAACGGAGATTTTGCTTATGTATAATATACATGCACATAAAGCTTGAATCGCGTTGGCTCTTAATATAATTTATTAAGGTCTTTCCTTTCTTAATGGAAAGACCTTACTGTATTTCGTTTGTTTATTATTATTATTATTCTTTTTCCTCGTCCGATTTCAAAGTCAAGAGTCAAAAAAAGTACGCGACAGATCCAAATGATCTTTGGTATTAAGTATCGGGTTAATAAAATCTATCTTGTATTAGGGGAACCAAAGTGTACTATTTACCTTATAGGAGTTATCTCCCCAATTACAAAAACCATTGTTATCGCTACTTTCCATAAACTATAAGAGTTAGCGGCAAATGGTTTTTTTTTAAATGTTCCTTGCC